TAGACGAAGTTGGCCCCAAGATGGCTCCAACGCAGCCGTAAGACAGCGAACCTGGCGCCTAACTTTGGATGTTCGTGCGCGGTGTGGGCGGCTGTCGACGTGAATAGCCAGTGTACTACAAGCTGCACCAAGTCACCTTCGAGCCCGTTTGCTATTGTGGATCGCGGATTCCACCAAGAATGAGGGCTTGAAGGGCAAGATCATGGAGTTAACAACTCGTTGGGACAGCTCAACTTCGCTGACCTTGCCGACGGAAGCTGGCATGGAAAAGAGAAAGGGAAGAAAGGGGGCAAGAGCAAGTCGAAAGATCAGAAGGGAAAAGCAAAAGGAAAGAAAGAGACGAAGTTAGAGGAAAAGGGCCCTTGGAAGGGCTCAGAGAAGGGTGAGAGTGTGCGCCAGAGGACAGCTTCAGAGCCATTCTGATGAGGCATGGCGGACAGGCGCAAAGGTATCGACAGCCTACATTGGAAGCAGAAGCAACGGAGGAGGAGCTCAAGGCAATCTCAGAAGCCATTTCCGCTGGAGTGGTGACGCCAGCCAGCGCCAGGTCTTCATGGACAACCAAAGACACCTGCAGTGACCTGCACCGATTCCAACAACGCCGAGATCAAAGAGGCCGGCAAGGTGATGGAGGAGCCAGAAGAGAAGAGACAAGACTCATAAGAAAAGGGAGCCTCAGGAGGCAGAAGATTCAGGAAGATGAAGGAACAGAAGAGAAGGCTATGCCATCGAGTGCATCAAGACCGCGAGAAGAAGGGCCAGAACTGTTGCCTTCAGCGTCACCGACAAAGATTGCTAGGCGGTACCCACCGCATTGTGCAGGTATACAAGCAATTGAGGTACATGGAGATGAGGAATTCGATTGGTCCATGGTGCCGGAGGAGGTGAGCGAAGAGCTGCAGTTGAATGAAGGAGAAGATGAAGAATCACCCATCACGACAGAAGAGCATCTGAAAGTGCTTGACCAAGAGGTGGAGGATATGTGATCTCTACAAAGTTCGTATACTGCTGGAAGCGCAGGGTGGAACAAGGAGGATGTTCAGAAGAGCACGCCTGGTTGCAAGGCAATTCAAATCCAGCGTGGACATGGAGCAAACCTTTGCACCAACATCAATGATGGTGATTCCAAAGACGCTCATCAACCTCATGCTGAACGTGTTCAAGCATTTCGTGGCAATGACACTGGACATCAAGGATGCATTCCTGATGGCTGCGCAGCCTGAGGAAGAGAAGGCCTACGTGCATGTTGATGGAAAGATCTACAAGCTCAACGAACAGCTGCCGCACAGTGGTTTCAACTGTTCACGGGAGCGGGGCATGGGGCAGGACATCATTGCTGATGATACACAGAGTGATTTACATCACAGTCCATGTGGATGATGTCTTCATGGTGGGAGACGAGACAGCGCTGAAGGAGTTTGTCGACTACCTGAAGACAAAGAAGAAATGGAGCATTGAGGGGACCATTCCTGATGGGAGAAAGGTTCTCATATCGGAAAAGGGACTTCACTCTCTACCGAAGCTGGTGTGACACCCGCTGCGACTACAGGCAGTATGAGAGCCTTGGAAAAGAACTGGACCTGTTCAAGAAAGCCTACAGGAAGACGCCCATGGACCAGAGCTTCAGCAAGAAAGATGAAAGTGAAGATGATGCACCTACAAGGCACTGAGGGCTATGGAGTGAGATTGTCAGCAAGGGCCAAAGGACAATCAGTCATGAATGTGCTGGACATCGAAGATAAGGAGCGGCGTCTTCTAGAAGTGGCGACAGATGCAGATTATGCCGGAGACAGGGATGAAGCACGACTTCGTTCCAGGTGTTCATCGACGGCAACGTCATGGAATCAACAAAATCAACAGCCAGGGCACAGAAAGCAATATCCCTCTCATCGGGGGAATCAGAGTTTGTTGCCGTGGATGCAGGATCCTCAGATGAACTGCTCATCAAGCACGTGTGGGAGAAGATGACAGAGGAGACATGTGAGATAAGGCGCGCTCAGACAGTTCAGCTGCACCGTCAATGGTGCAAAGACAGGGCATTGGTCGAGTTCGCCACTTGGACGCATCGTTGTTCTGGGTGCAACACATAAGGAGAAGGACAAGACTTTGGCTGTGGGACCAATCCCCACTGGGCTCAACTGTGCGCATCTAGGCACAAAGAGCTTGACGAGGAAGCGCGTGCTGGGACCCCTCTACATGTTGAAGATGGTGCGACAACAGTCGGTGAGGAGGAATGCAAAGAGCTCGAACACAGGGAGCAAATGAAGAAAGGTCTGAAGAAGGTGGTGAGAAGCAAAGACCTGCATGCGGGATTGTTGCTATTGATGACCAGTATGGATCAAGCCGCAGGTGGAGGAGGAACAAGGATGGCAATGGATGGCCTTTTGGCTATGCGCCATTTGTGGAGCCTGAGCCTAGCAGAGTGGTTGCGGCGACACATGATCATGAAGGTGATCTACCTGGCTGGGGACTACATCAATCCCGTCCTCGAGACACCGGTTCTGAAGTCTCAGAACTACATGTTGGCTGGTGAGGACAAGCTTGGCAAGTCAACGGAAGCTTCCCTGAGGCACTATGAAGAGGAAAGTGTCGAGACGCAGGACAAGATTTTCCAGCTTGAGACATACATCGCAGAGCTGGAACAGTGGATCCAGGAAGTGAAGGATCAAAGGAACATGGCTTTCGTAGCATCAAGACACAGCCTGAAGATGATGAGGTAAAGGATCAATTACAGGGTCTGCAAGAGTGGTAGTAAGATCCACTACGCAGAGTACTGCCCACATTTTGCTGGTGCAGATGCATTTGAGCTTTGTGTAAAGTGCATGGGTGATGGGTGATGGGTGATGGGGGCGTGACAGAATCCATGAACATGCCAGTCACCCATGCTTAGCACGCGCAAATCAAAAAGTGTACCGGCAACATCAAGGCTCGAACTCGTGTGAAAAGGCACGTGTTTTGCTTCGCAAATAAAATAAGAGTTGTGAGGGACTGCAAAACCTGAGCCCAAACCGCGTTAACCTTTCCTGTAGCATCTTCATGCTCCAGAAAAGGACGAGTCAAATGCCCGATGACGGCCGTGCCGCCATGCATTGTGATGTGATGTCCGTTTGATCGGATGATTGGCGGGAGGCTTGTACTTGTTTCCACGCAGTTCCAAAATTGTTCCCACACAATGTTTGTCAGCTTGAGATTGCCAAGATTTTTAACATCGAAAGTGGAAATGGACTGCCCAAGGGATCGTCAAGAATCAACACAATGTTTCGAATAAAGCGAAGGACCTTCTTGTTCAACCGGCCCCTCACCCGGAAAACCTAGAGTGGCATTGAAGAAATGAATGGGGCCACGAAAGGATTAATCAACCTAATTAAACATGAGTGCCACAATGCACTTGCTAGAGAAATTCCGTGGTAAAAGAAGGGGATGTCCTGACTGGCTGCGACAGCACAGCGCAGCTCTTTTTGATCTCAACATCTTGGTGCATATGTTGTCAAATTTGGTGGATGAATGCAAAAACTGCTGCACTTTTGCGTCCCAAGCGGTGGCTTCTGCAAAGCGGCAACAAGAAGAGGCAGAAGGACAAGGACAAAGACCTGACAAGCCTGCTGGCACCGAAGACGATGAAGGGCAAGGGACATTGAACCATTGGACCATGCAAATCCATGGCATTGTTGTATCTTGTTGTTGTTGTTGGGCGGCGGGTGGGCGGGTCAGCGCAACAAAAAACCACCACACATCAATGTCAAGAACGAAGCCGTGATAAGATTTTGTGGCATCATGCTGATCGTGGGCAGAGATGAGTTAACGCAACAGTTTTATGTCTATGTATTCTTATTACTCATTTCATTTTCCATTTGGGATCTGCTTTTTACAAGGTTTGTGGATGGTGTTTGTTGTTTTTCCATCCCGGCCTTTGTTAGCTGCCACAGTGTGGTGGCTGTTTTTTGCAGTCATTGACAGGGACTTTGAACTTGCGTGGGTGTTGTGTGCAGCATTGGGATCAAAGCTTGATTTAGACGTCAGTGGTGCGTTCAAACTGAACAAAATGTAGTGACCAGAACCACAATATAAACACATGTCGAATGATTTCAGAGCGCCGGAGCAACTTAAAGTGTTCGAAACAACCCTTCGTGACATGAGCCGGGCTGCCAACCCAAACAAACCAAAGAAAACACAGATCGAAATTGAGGCAGGAAATGCCGTGTTTTCCTTATCTTATGGGAGAAGGTCTGAGCGTTCACACGTGCAAGGCTGATGTGGCTGCCAAGAAGCAAGAGGCGCAGTTTGATTTTGCTTGTGTTGTGGTATGGTTGAGTTGAGGCATGTCGTAAGTCATTCCCACCCTTGTTCAGGCAGACCGGGAAAGAATCAAGCGATGCATAATCACATTGGGAGATGAAAACAAAAAGGCCGAGATTATTTTTGGCAAATATTTAAGTCAATGATTTGGCAATGTGCAGGTTGGGTTTGCCGAGTTTTGTGGGGGCACGGCTTCACATAGTAACTAGTATCCAAACATAGAAGCCAGCAGGTTGTTTCTCAGATTCGTGGAGCAGTGCAATTACTTCAGGCAAGTTCTTGTGTGAATGTTTGAAACGGATGCGCTGTGCACTGTTCGGCAACGATGGAGGATGATGTAGAACTTCATGGTGAGCTCATGTCAACAGTTCTAATCGATTGTGCAAAATGCAGGGGCCTGAGATAAGATGATTATAATATAGGGTGTTCACACACCAGGCAAAATATGTTGTGAACCTGTTCATGTCTTCAGGTTTGCCTATCAAGTGGGAGACCCAACGCGCTCAGCAACAGTAAACATCTTGCCACCAATTTTGTCCATTTTACCATTGGACGGCTTGCCAAGATTGGGCATTTATGCCGCCTGGTGTGCCAAGATGGCGGCTGTCTCAATGCGTTATTGCTATGAGCATGGGTACTGGCAAGCGGGCAAGTGCAAGGCTGAAAAACACCCAAAGTGGGCGGCCAACATGGTCAGCTGCGCCATGGAGGAATTGAGAGCAACACCCTTATGGTTGAGTCACGCCATGACGCCATTTTTCAAGTGAGTGTTTGAACCTCTGAGGCGCGGGTGCAGGATGGCAGTGTGGCCAGCACGCATTGGGCCTAGCTGGGTGCAGCACTGTGAGTCAAAGGCTCCAGGCTGGGCTTTGGACATTAGACATGTGCAGTTTTGGATTTCGCATTCATGAGTCATGAGTTTGAAAGGAGGGCCAGTCATGTAAACATCACTTTTTTCGAAATCTGGCGGACATTCCACCAAGGCTTTGCGTGAGAATGTGGAAGCAACAAACACGTACTTCAGGAACACAGTTTGTTGCATTTGACTCTGCGCTGCGGGTGCTTTGCCTGTCTGCAGCCGCCAACTTGAAGGAAGGTGTGTGCGTGTGGACAACACGCCACGCTGCCAACGTATGCCTGCGTGCGGTATTAGCCCTAAAGCCTTACCAGGCTTTCCCTCTGGCTTGCAGCGCAAAAGAACTATGCTAAGTCTTTGGTGTGCCCGAAGCTAACGGATAGGAAGGCCTCGAGAAACTTTTGTGAGAAGTGGTGCTTGTCTTTCGAACATGCTAGATTGCTCGCACTGGCCATGTGCATCTAACTTTAAGAAACCCATCCGTATATTGCAAGTTAAAGTATACTGAGCTAGTTTTGAGTGTTGAGGATCTTCTGGAGTGTTCTGCTTGTTTTTGAGGCAGCTCCTGCTTCGATTCATTGTTTTCCTGGCCAACACCGGCGTCCTAGGTCACGTGCGCTTCAGTTGATGATAGACACACGCATGGCTGTTTATTGCGCAGGCGTGGTCGCAGTCTTGGATTTGCTGCTGCAGGCTTGATCTATATTGAGTTTAAAACACACATGGCGCGTTGTCCATGTGTGAATGCTGCAATGCGCTCGGATGGGTTGGTGAGAGCGTCGGTAGTTTGCGTGGGATTTTGATGGGTTTTGTCACCTTCTAGATGGCAGTGCTATTTGGTGTGACTCAATGGGCAGGAGTAACCAAACTTGCATCCCAAGAAAACTACCATATCGAAGACAAGGGAGGCCGAGAGTGAACCAGCTAACTGAAACGGTGAAAGACACTTTCCATTGTCTCGGGCACAGCCCGCCCCAACAACCAACCCTCCAACACATACGAATGCTCCAAAATGCCGCCAGGAACCGAGCATATCCATTTTGAGAAAAACAAGAATCAATCATTCTCTGAAAAGAAGGGCGCTGCCCCATCAGCCTACGGGCTCACACAGTAATTACACTGCAAAGGACAAATGCCTTTCCCCGAGCTTCGTGTCACCTCCTGCTATGTCAATTTTTGAGCCCGAACAAGGGAACCCTTGAACTCCTTGCTTGGCGCTAGGAAAAAATAGTGGGCCGGATGATTGTGAATGGAGTGGCGGCCCTGTGTGCGGGTGTGTTTGTGTGTGAGTGTGTAACGTATGTCAATGTGTAGCAGACCATTTTGGAAAGCGCCTGTAAAAAGACTTTGCACGTGCCGACCACCCCACTTTCCAACCAGTACCACGGCTACTTTGTGGAACATGGGTGGTTGGGCGATCGATTTGTTACGTCGACATTTTAATGATGTATTTTAAATTAATCATTACATTATCGAGGTCAACAATTCACCTAGTATTGCATTGGTTCTGAAATCCAACCAAGTTGGTGACGTGTGAGGGCCGAACCAAAAATCTGAGCTGAACCGACCGTGATGTTGCGGACAGTCACAGAGACTACGGCTACGGCCAGTGTGGGGCAATACTTGTCGCTCCTCGATTTCGGGAACAGCTATATATGGATTAATGTCCTCATAATTAAGCACAGAGTCAGTCCTTTTTCACCGTAGCATCGGGCTCAAAAAGGGAAAGGTGAGTTGGATGGGAGGGGGCCGGCCTGGCCCCCTCCCAATTTGTGAACGGTGCCAGCACTTCGTCGTGCGTGACAAAGGACTTAGTGTTTGTGCACCGTGTCGCAAGTCCTACCAGCTCCAGGTTTCAGTGAAGGGTGTTGTGTCCTCAGAGAAAGACGAATCGGCCGTTGTTTTCTACCAGGGCTGCTTCGCTCTTTTGGAGGACTGGCTGAGGACAATCAAGGACTTGGAGACCAAGGACACCCCAACGGGATCTGGAAGCTCGGCATCGCGACACAGAAGCCCGAGCAAAGGAGAAGTCTCACGTAAGCCCCAACCAAGAGATAACAAGGAGGACACAGCTGAGGAGAAGAAGATTGACCGGAAAGTAAGTTCAGCCCCTGCGAAAGCCCCACCTGTTCAGCCGAGTTCGCATTCACGGCCTGCATTGTCTGTTGAAGGGAGGAGTGCACAGAGAGCCACCTCCCAGACTCGTGCAGTTCCACGACCAAGTCAACCACCTCGAGAGGCTCTTCGTGATCGGTCGCCGGATCTTGGACTCTTTGCAAAGAAGAAGGCTGAGCCCAAGAAGGCCGTTGTGGAGGAAGAGAGAAGCCCCAGAGGGGAGTTGCAGAGAACTCCCAAGTGTAAGGAAGAGCAAGAGGAAGAGGAGAAAAGCCCTAGAGGGGAGTTGAAGAGGACTCCCAAGCCTGCCGAAAAGAAGAAGAACGGCAGTCCAGCTTCATTGTCTGGGCCTGGTGGAACTGGCCTATGGGTATTACTATGATGGTTTGGTCAAAGTGGCCGGCTACATTACAGGTTTGGGGCGTGACACTGACTATTTGGAGTTCAGGGTGACGGGACCCAAACTGAAAGGCTGGTCGAAGTGCTGAGCGAACCATCTTGGAGGGTGATGCAGCTACACATCTGTCCCAAAGATTGTCCCCACTCTACAACTGGACCCGACATCCTACATGCCTCGAGTTTCTGGGAAGTGGGGGACAAGAGGCAGCCGTGGCATACGCTCTTCGAGAAGACAGAGGTTGTGGCAGAGGAGAAGGATGAGATGGCAAAGCTGAGGGAGCACTATGCGGCTAGGAGCGGCTTGGTGGCTGGGGAGAAGAGGTCTCCCAGTGTGGAGGTTGAAAAAGAAAAGAAAAAGAAAAAGAAGAAACGGAAAGATAAAGAAAAGGAAAAGAGGCCTGAGAGGACGAGGTCAGATAAAGAAGGAACAGAGGATGAGACAGGGCAGGAGAGAGGGCAGAAGAAATTGAGGAGCCTGTTCAGTGGGACCTGCCTGGACCCACGTATGGAGGAGCGGGCCAAGTGGCTCAGAAGGGCACGAAAAATGGGAAAGAAAGAAGGAAAGAAACGCAAACACTCCTCGAGTGAGGGGACTTCGACGGAGAGCTCAACTTCCGAGGAGGATGAACAAGTTGAGACAGGAGAAGGATTGTTTGCCGAGAAGAAGTAGCGGTACCCTCCACTCCTTGGACCGCAAGTCATTGCCTCCCCTCTACACGCAGTACTATCGCAGTGAGCTCCACTCCCAGGTTTCTCCTTCAATGGGGCAAGAACTGCTAACCATCAGTCAGACGGCTGATTTGCTACTTCGGGGACATCCGGCACGCGCCGTTGACCTTCTCTCCCAGCGGTTCAAGGCCCTCGAACAACAGGCACGAGGTGCGCACTGGACGGTTGCGCGCCAGCTGGAACTGGTGTCAGCAGATTCGGTTGGGTTATCCCAAGGAGCCGAAGGAGCTGAAGCCGCCCGGTTGGCAAGAGAAGAAGCCCGAAATCGAAGCGCAGTGCAAAGGCCTTACAACATGGGAGGCAAAGATGGGAGCAAGTCAAAAGGCAGACCTGATCCACCTGAGGGGCGTGAAAAAGGAGATCGAGGAGGCAAGGGAAAAGGGAAAGGAAAGAAGAAAGAAAAACAAATGATGAGTAAAACAGAGGATTCAGAAAGCCCCAGGTGGAAAAAAGGTCAAGAGGAGGCTTGGAGGCTGAGAGTGCAATGGTTGAACAGGGTGCTATAGCAGAGGTTGAGGATTTGTGCATTGAGCGGCTGTTGAAAGAGAGTGAGAAGAGAGGTTTAGAGCAGAGGACAGGTTGGGCGAAGAGACGGTGTGGTGGAGGCAGCAACGATTGCACGTCGCGATCACTGCTGCGAAAAGAGGAGCTCCCTTCGTTTGGTTCAGGCGTAGAGGCCGAGAGGGCCCAGCTGGAGTTGAATGGAGGGGAGCCGATTTTCTCCAGGCCACTTGAGGCTGGCTCCCAGTGCAAAGAACGAGTTGAACCGCATTGGAGGTCTTCTATGCCGCAAGATGGTATGCATGTGGAACGGGAGATGGACACAAGTCGTGCCTCCCAGTGTGACAGAGGTGAGTCGGAGCAGCAGCTTGTTGATGCCGCCCGTTGCGAGATCACCTATGACACCGTGGACAACAGAGGGCCCGGCTGGCGACTGGCCTTTGAGCCGTGCCGCGCAGTACTTGAGGCATGTTGTCGAAAAAAGGAGATTAGCTTCGTTGAGTTGGGTTCAGTGTTGTCTCAAGCATTGGCGGTGGTTGAAACCAGATTAGAGCGTTGCAGCCAGCCCAAGGGGGATTTATTCCCCTTGCCGCTCGCTAGTGACTTGGGGCTACACGGTCAAAGAATCCCAAACTCGGACGCATTGATTCGTGCATTGAATTTGTTGTATGGAACCAAAACCAAGACACGTGCAAAAGAAGAAGGTATTCGAAGATCATTGACTGAAAGGTTAAATCAGGTGGTGTTGAAGTCGAATCTGTTGGAAGAGAATTTGCCCCAGCTGGACTTTCATAGACTTTTCCAATCCAAAATGGTGGATTATTCGGGTGAGGAGGTTCAGGTGGCCCGGTCTTTCCAGTGGAAGATGATTGAAGCAGCAATGCCGGAGGCGGTAGGTTCACTAGAGTTGGAATCCTCCTGCGATGGGGGGACTCTCAACTACGTCCGGGAATCATGGTGGAGCAGCGCCACTGGGCGGAGGTCTGCTCGGGGCTGTTGAGCCGGGGGGTTTGCCGGGTGATGCATGTATCGGAACTACACCATGTGAACGGACGCCCCCTGTTGAATGGACTTTTTGCCGTAAGCGAGCAGGAGACTGCGGTGGGTGCTGATGGCCAATCGTTCGAGGTTTGTCGACTCATCATGAACCTAGTGCCCACCAATAGTTGTTGTAGAAGCTTGGTTGGCGATACTTCAACTTTACCCAGTGTTGTGGGCATGTCCGCGGTGGTTTTGGAGGATAGCCAACTTCTAATAACCTCATCTGAAGATATTCATTGCTTCTATTACCTGTTCCGGACTCCAGCTTCCTGGTGGAAGTACATGGGGTTTGCAAGGGAGGTGCCCCACAAACCCCCCCCAGCGGCTTGCAGTGGGACAGGATGGCACATGGGGTTTATCAATTCGGTGGCTATTGCTCAGCATGTGCGCCGGAGGGTCGTCAGGTTGGCTGATCATTTGTACAGGGTGTATTTGGACAACTATGATGAGTTGCGCAAAGTTGACCGCAGGCTGGCAGGGTTGGGCTGGCGAACCCTCAGCATGGACTTTGGCTGTGAGGCAAACCTATGAAGACTTGGGGCTGCCCAGGCATCCCAAGAAGGCGGTCACTCAGGAGGTCAAGGCAGAGGTGCAGGGAGCTTGGCTTGATAGGGAGGCAGGTACCGCATCACCAAAAGGTTCAAAGGTAGTCAAGTATGTGAGGCTTGCGTGTGAACTGTTGATTCGAGGATGTGCGTCACAGAAGGAGTTGCAGATTGTGAGAGGAGGCTTTGTGTACGTTGCGATGTTGCGACGGCCTCTTCTAGCCGGGTTGAATACCTTGTGGAGGCGCATCATAGAATTAGGGGACTCAGGTAAGAAACGTGAGGCGTTGGGCGAGCATGTTGAGTTGGAACTGCTAAGGTTCATTGCGCTGACCCCTCTGGCCTTCATGGACTTCCGCACCATGATCTCTGAGCGTGCCACGGCTAGCGACGCGTCGACCAGTGGAGGCGGCTTGTGCGTGAGCAAGGAGTTGTCACCCTACGGTGCAGCAGCGGCCCGGGCGCAGACTAGGGGAGACGTTCTCTCCCAAGATGACATTGAGCCTATCTTGGTGGTGTCGTTGTTTGACGGCGTTGGCGCCCTACGCGTGGCGGTTGATGCTCTCCGTGTCCCAGTTGCTGGTTACGTGTCGGCTGAGATCTCGGAGGACGCTCGAAGAGTAGTTGAGAGTTGGTTCCCGGAGGTCAGGCGCATCACGGACGTCAAGGACATCGATGTGAACGAGGTGAGCAATTGGAGTCTGTTGTATCCCGGGGTGAGCGCCGTCATCCTGGGAGCGGGACCGCCATGCCAAGGCGTCTCAGGATTGAACAGTGATAGGAAGGGGGCGCTGCGTGACGCTAGGTCGTATCTGTTTTCACATGTCCCGCGTGTGGAGCTGTTGTTGCGTCGTTTCTTCAAATGGTGCCCGGTGTTCCGGCTTGCTGAAAACGTGGCCTCGATGGATGTCAAGGACTGCGAGGTTATGAATGAGGCATATGAAGGACGCCCATGGCTAGTCGACGCAGGTGGCATTAGTTTAGCCCGTAGGCCCAGGCTCTACTGGTTTAACTGGGAGCCGCTAGAATGCAAAGGTGCCCTCAAAGTGGACAGTGAGCGTCAGCGCTTACCCTTACCTGGCAGGCTACAATTGCAGGCAGACGTGGAGGAGAAGGACTTCCTGGAACCAGGGTGGCGCCGGGTAGAACCTACACAGGTTTTGCCAACCTTTACCACCTCTCGACCATCTGCGAAGACGCAAGCCCGCAGGCTTAGAGTTGTGCACTGCCGAGGACTTGTTGCGTTGGAAGGAGGATGATCATCGTTTCCCGCCTTACCAATACAAAGCAGTGAACTGTGTCACAAACGGACTCGTGAAGCGTGTTCCCAATGTCAGGGAGCGGGAGTGTATCCTTGGATTCCCCTTGGACTATACAGCAAAGTGCTATCCCAAAGGCCAACAAAACAAAACGTCATGGAATGACTGTCGCCTGACGCTTTTGGGTAACACATGGTCTGTTCCGGTGGTTCGTTACCTTCTCCACTCCCTCTTCTACACGTTGGGGCTTGTCGAACCATTGAGTGTGCAGGAGCTGTTGAAGCGGTTGACTCCAGGGGAGGAAGATCACCTCCCAAGTCTTCTGTTGCGCCCTCCGATGCGCCGGACAACACAAGCCGGAGTTCCAGGACAAGGACTTGTGCGTAAGCTCTTGGGCCAAATTTCCGTCAAGGGCGAAGACTTGTTGCTTCAGATGGGGACAGATATTCCAGCTCGCTACCACCGTTTGCGAGCGTCTATTCCAGGCAAACTGTGGCGCTGGCGTGAGGTTGCAGGCTGGCGCTGGACAGGCGAAGCTGAACACATCAATGTCCTCGAATTGCGTGCTGTCAAGACTTTGTTGGCATGGCGTATCCGGGAGTTGAAGGAGCAACGGTCTCGTTTCCTGCACCTCGTTGATTCATTGGTTGTACTACATGCACTCTCACGGGGGAGATCCAGTTCACGCAAGCTTAGGAGAACCCTTGCCAAGATATCCGCAATGCTGTTGGCTAGTGGCCTTCAAGGTACCTGGGGGTACATTGACACACACCAGAACCCGGCGGACGAGCCGTCTCGCCGGCCCCTACATCGCAAATGGGTAAGAAAGCTCCAAAAGTAGTGGAAGGTCGCAGCCAGCAGCAGCGAAAGGCGGTAAGACAAAAGCTTGGCAAGTTAAAGGGTTTAACAGTACAACCACGTACCCGACAGAGGTATGAGGCTAGTTTGCAGCAGTTCTTCTCCTGGTTGGAACGGGAGGGCCTTTCCCTCCCAAAACGAGTCGCACAGATGGACAACTTGGTCAGTGACTACCTTGAATACTTATGGGCTGAGGGACATGGCAAATCTGAGGCGAACAATGCTCTTGCAGCACTTCAAGACTTTGACCCGAATTTGCGTCGAAAGCTTCCGGGAAGCTGGCGATTACTGAAGGCCTGGTCGACAGCGGAGATCCCAAACCGGGCTCCGCCGATGACGATAGGATTGCTCGATGCCCTTTGCGGTTGGGCCGTGATGCAAGGACTTCCAGACTTTGCCTTGTCTCTGAGGGTTGCATTTTTTGGACTCCTGCGGACAGGCGAACTTTTAAGCTTGACCTCGAAAGATGTGTACATTGCGGGGCCCAAGGGGCCAGCGGTCATTTCGCTTGGACTCACCGGGTCAGGGGGCCAGTGAGAGCGTCACTATAGTGGACACCTCAGTACTACCGTCGTTGTACAGTTGGAAGCGCCGAAGCTCGGCCAACTCATACTTAACCTCCAAACCCCATGCTTGGCGCAAGACTTTTAATCAAGCCATTGCTGGACTTCAGCTCACCGCGCTTGGCCTGCGCCCGTACTCGTTACGGCGTGGGGGGGCCACGTTTTTCTCCCAACACCACGGAAGTTTCGATAAATTGCTGCTCCAAGGGAGGTGGGCAGCAGCAAAAACCGCCCGAATATACCTGAACGAGGGTTTAGCACAGTTGTCAGAGATGCAGGTTCCTAATTCGCGTCTGCGGACCTATGCAAGTTTTTACCTTCAGAACCCGATCCTTGAGCCTGGGCCCCGGAAGGCGCCCAGGTCGGGGGGGCGTGGAAGAGCCAATAAAAGCGTCTTTTTTCTGCGTGAGAGGCAAAAGAGGCTTCCTGATGGGGAGATCTAACAGGAAGTTTGTTCCTCTAGAGTGTTCGGGCCCAGGGGGCTCCGGTATGGCGGAAGCAGTCCTGGGGGGCACTGGGGGGCACTCACCTTTCTCTGGTCTGGCGGAAAAGGCTGAGTGTCGGGGCCCCGAAGAGGAGAATTTGTGGTTCCAAGCACCATTGGTGCTCTGTTCTTGGACAAACCTGCTGCAACGCGTGAAAAAATGACCGGCGGCTGTGCTTGGATTAATACCTCGTAATTAAGCACAGAGTCAGTCCTTTTTCACCGTAGCATCGGGCTCAAAAAGGCACCCCCACCGCACCCGTTGTTGGTGTGAAGGTTGTCCAATAAAAGCGTCATTTTTCTGCATGAGAGGGGTTGAGGGAAAGAACACCAAAAGAGGCTTCCTGATGGGGAGATCTAACAGGAAGTTTGTTCCTCTAGAGTGTTCGGGCCCAGGGGGCTCCGGTATGGCGGAAGGTATGGCGGAAGCAGTCCTGGGGGGCACTGGGGGGCACTCACCTTTCTCTGGTCTGGCGGGAAAGGCTGAGTGTCGGGGCCAGCACCGTTGGTGCTCTGTTCTTGGACAAACCTGCTGCAACGCGTGAAAAAATGACCGGCGGCTGTGCTTGGATTAATGTCCTCATAATTAAGCACAGAGTCAGTCCTTTTTCACCGTAGCATCGGGCTCAAAAAGGCACCCCCACCGCACCCGTTGTTGGTGTGAAGGTTGTCCAATAAAAGCGTCTTTTTTCTGCATGAGAGGGGTTGAGGGAAAGATGGGGGGATCTAGCAGGAAGTTTGTTCCTCTAGAGTGTTCGGGCCCAGGGGGCTCCGGTATGGCGGAAGCAGTCCTGGCGGGCACTGGGGGGCACTCACCTTTCTCTGGTCTGGCAGGAAAGGCTGAGTGTCGGGGCCGCGAAGAGGAGAATTTGTGGTTCCAAGCACCGTTGGTGCTCTGTTCTTGGACAAACCTGCTGCAACGCGTGAAAAAATGACCGGCGTGTGCTTATATACACTTGCCTGGAACAAGTAGTGTAGCCAAGGGAAAACAACTTGCTGGTACTGGAGGCCATAACAAAACCTGCACATCAAGATCAAAAGACCAAACTGATCATTGGGGCCATGTATACTACTAATGCTACTGCTACTCGACAAGATGCTTGTCCGACGAGATGCAATCGCAAAAAAGGAGGAAACTAAATCAAGCTAAAACACATCTCTGCGCTTTCACTCTGTGGCGTGATGTTTTGGCTTGTTCCATGGGCAGCTAATTGCATATTTTGATCCCCCATTGCTGTTGTGAGACTGATCTGGCAGGTGATTTCAGTTTGTCAGAGCATGCAGTTGAGTAGAAGAGGCCTTGCAATCAGGCCCATTGTGCCGGAAGTTTGTTGCAGAATTGAGAAGGTGACTTTCCGGTGTTCATGGCTTTGGACCCGCACTTGGTCCTGTACGCTGCCCAAGCCCAAACGAGTAGAATTTGCAAACTCTTTCTGAGGCATCTTTGCCATTTCTTAGCCCGGAGGCATACCGACAGGATCGGGAACTTTCATGCTGGTGCGAATGCAAGAGGGTTCTGGGAGGTGGCAAATTCAAAGTAGCTGGCCTGTGCGATGCCAGGGGCGGGAAAAGGTTGATTCGCTGATTGCAGCTGCGTGCAAGCATGCTGCAAACCGAGTGGTGGCCCAAGCGCAGAATTTTATATAGTCCAGTTTGCTTGCTGTTGCGGATGCTTTGCATTCTTTTGGACTGAAGTGCATTGTGTAAATGACCTCTGAAGATACGCATGCTAGCTAGCCTGCATGTCGCTCAGTTTTTCCAAACTAAAATTCCAACTCAACAGTGTGACCCAAAGGATGGCAAACGCTCCCAAAAGGGCCTTGATGTATATGCCCCTGGATTCAGATAGAATGAAACCTTGTCACAGAGTCATGCAGGTGAAGCTATTGGTTATAATTGTTACTAGACAGGCGCAGTCTTCGAACCCGCACAGCACCTGCCAATTCTTTAAGCTCGTCCCATGTCTGGAGTTGGTTTGCAGGGTGTTGAGGTTACTGCACGTTGCAGCAGGAGCCTCTTCAGGATTCCAAATTGAAAGGCTTAGCTTTTTTGCAATCGATCGGTGTATCAGTGATGTTTGGAATATTTGTTCTGTTCGACTCTTGGATGTTTTTCACATCACCACCCTGTCTGTTTGAGGAAGCTGCCTGGAAGTCAACGCTCCGCATCTTTAAGAGCAAGGATAGCTTTGACAGGTTGGAGGACACTGGAAAGAACAAGCGTTGCGCATTTCTAAGCTTTCTATTGGCAATGCTCGGCTTGAGAGGAACTTCTTCGAAGTGTGAAGCAACTTTCAAAGCAGGGCTGGTCTTTACAGGCGAGACATGGATGACAAGGGCCCAGGGCCTTGATTGAGGCAGATGGAGTTGGCTTGATACCAGCTTCTTACACATCGGCTGAGCTTATCATGACCAAAGTGGACCGCTACTCTTGCACTTCAACCTCACAACACCGGCAGCCCTTCGATTTTCTCCAACTGCCAAGCTGGGGGTCGTCAGCCATAGTAAAGACTTTGGAGCAGTTCGGAGCAGCAGAGCAAAGTTCCCGAGCAGGTTCCGGTGCAAGATCCGTCTTGAAAAAACACCACGTGGTGCTTCAAAGGGTGTTCCTTCAACACCAGCTTATGTACCTCAAACACCTGCAGGTTTTTAATTCACAGCGCTTCGCGCTCGAAGCCGCGCGGAGTGTGTGCGTTTGTCTCGGTCGGTCTGTTTAGGTCTGTCAGTCTGTGTTTCAGTCGGACGAATGCGCCAAGGAGGTCAATAATGCAGTTTCCCCGGAGTGCACAGGCATCCGCGATGTCGATAATGCATCGTCACCTGGCCTGCATATCCGGCATAACGTTTTTTGTCAAAAACAATGTCAAACGTTATCAATCTTCAAAAACACTGCAAAGCACAGCATTTCGTAATTCAAAGTAGGCCTCCCTCGGCTAAAGCTTAGGATTTCTTCTAGCAGCCTAGCAGATTTCTTGCGGTTTGTACAAGCCTCCACAACGCCTCGGCACCTTCAGTGCAGGCGGGTTTGAATCACAGTAAGGTTGCGCTGGGTGTTTGGTGGGAGATGTTTGGGTATCAGTGACCTTGGCTTGAGTTGAACCTTTTTTGCGCGCTATTAGGAATTCTTGTTTGTGGCTATCCCAGAAAGTGCAGAAACTGTGGGATGGAAGTGGGAAGAGGTAGAGAAAATACTGGGAAAGGAGTGGGGCAACATGGGGCACCAGCCTAGAATCGGGAAAGCCATGGGAAAATGTGGAAGAAGTGGGTGGACCATAAGCCATCCATGAGAGGACGCTGGGGAATGCAATGGTGACCGCAGGAGATTTTCCACCAGAGTCAAGAAGAGATGAACTGCTGCTGGGGAAAATCTGAGGTTTTGCCATAAATGCAGGATTTATTGGGGTGGTTGCTGTTTTGTGGGTTTTTTGAAGGATTTTTGAAGTACAATTTTTGGGAACAGAAATGGTGAAGCCATTCTGTGTGCAGCGGTATGTGATGTAGTCCTTTGAAAGCAGCTTCCTTTAAGTTGCAGAGCACTTGGCAAATATGATGAGGTGCCGCTATGGGCCGCTATGGGCGTAGTGCTGACATGTCATGATGGTGGCCTCCTACCATGCGTTTTTTTGGCCAACCTGCTTACATGTTGTATATGTTGTACCTCTGGGGCACCAAGATGTTGCGACGATGAATGGTGTCATGATGCTTTGTTGCGTATAGCCGTCACGCAGACGCGCGCTAGCGTGCTAACAGCTGCATTGTCATGCTGACGCGCGGAAATCGGATTGAGGTGTCGTGCTAGCTGCTAATGTATTGTGGGAGTCCAACGCCGCTTCAGGGAACCCTTGAACCTCGGAACTCTGAGCACTGTCAGGCGCAAACAAAGGGCGGATTTTTTCAGTTATTTAAAGGCTTACGCCTAACAGCCGGGCGCCGGCGCACTAGGGTCTGTGTAGGGCTGGGTCGGCGCGTGCACTATCGGGGGTGTACAGGGCCCTGGGTGGGGGCAAGGTGGGAAACTGCTCGGCGTTGGAGACGGGGGCCGGGTCTGGGGCACAAGTTAAGCTATCTGGTGCGCATCTTGGCCCTAGGTTGGGCCCATGTGGTCTATGTTGGGCACATCTTGGGCCCATGTTGAGCCTATGTTGAGCCTGTGTTAGGCCTATGTTGGCCGAGGTTGGGCCTACGTTGGCCCCACGTTGGCCTATGTTGGCCCTATGTTGAGCCATCTTGGAGGTAAGTCGTCTGGAGGGCCTCTACCCACAAAATGTCGATTAAGCCTGTCCGCCCGGCCCGCATTACCGACACCACCCTTGAAAAACACAGCATTTTTGCATTTTCCCTTTTCCCCGCATCGTACTTCGATATGCGCAATAAACCCTGTAAAACACAGTGTTTTTTATACCTCACACACACGATGCACTGTAAATTACAGGGGCATCAGTGAACCGGTGGTCCGCCCGTTTTGTTGACGAGGGTCGGCGGCAGCCGGCGCGACCGTCTATAACCTTCGGTTACCACCGAAGGCCCTCCGGGCATGCCACGGGCGTCCTGGCCGGCGCCCGGATTTACCAGGCTACCGCCTGCAGCCGCCGACCCCCAAGGGATAGAACCTTAGCGCTAGCCTTGCTGTAGCCAGAGAGATTTAGCCGTAGCCTTTAGCTGTAGCTCGAAGCCAGACGGCCCCTAGCAAGATTGCGACGTGGATTGTTCAACATCTTGCTATCCCAATTGATTTACATCATGGGGTTTTGTTGTAGAAGGGAGTTGTAGGATGTCAAAGGAGGTTTTAGTTTCCCAGGTCTGCGTAGAAAATTGTGAACCTATTTTCTTCCATTGTTGTAATCATGCTTTTGTTAGGTTTTCGGCTGGATGCTTTTCCATTAATTTTCTAGCACTTCCTCTTGTATTTAGGTTCCCAGATTTGCCCAAAAATTGATTAACCTATTGTTAACCTATTTGATTCTAGTGTTCCCGGCCAATGCCCTGGAATTTTCCTAGGAATGCTCTAGGCTTTGTTTAGATTTTGCGCTGGGCGAGGTCCGGCCAGTGCCCGTGGTAACGTGAAAGGCTCTGGTAAGATTTTCGCATGCCTGTCAGGCGCCCGTGTCCGCGCCGTGTGGCGTGTTGGTTCTAGGACGGAGCAGCGCAAACGGAAGCTCGGGCAGGTGGTGGCGAGGTTCTCGCGCCAGCGAGGGAAGAGACCGTAGCCTTGTACATGCGGGCGGCGCGCGTGGATACTGCAGAATACTCACTGGGTGGCCTATACAATGGTTGGGGAAGAGATTTTTCTCTGTGATTCCTTGAAGCCGCGGCCTGAAAAAATATCTGCAGCCGCGCTGGCAGCTACGCTGCCGCACTGCCCGACGTACGCCATCCGTGCATAGCTGCTCCTGGAAGCCCCCCGGACGCGTGCCGCGCAGTGTCACGTCGTCTCGCGCGACGCAGTCGCCAAAGGGAACACCTGCAAGAAAAAAGGCCACGGAAGGGAGCTGCTGGGCCAGGCAGCTCGTGGCCGTGCGTGTGTGGACCGCGGGTTTTTTCCCGGACTTTCTCTGTTTTTTCACGATAATCCTGTCGTTGTCTAAGGGCGCCGTGTTGTTGTTTTAGGTTCCCTGATTTTCGAAGAAAAGTGCGAACCCATTTGCCGTGCTCTGTTCTGCCTACTTTGGGGGCGCTTCCCTCGGGGTTTGGCGGCGCCTGAAGCATCCAGCCGAAAACGTAACAAAATCTAGACAAAGCCTAGAGCATTCCTAGGAAAATGTTGGAAAAGCCTTTGAAAATCCCATAGGTTAGCAAAAGGTTAACAATTTTTTGAAGAAATCTGGGAACCTAAAAACAAGAGGAAGCGCTAGAAAGTTCTTGGAAAAGCATCCAGCCGAAAACGTAACCAAATCTAGACAAATCCTAGAGCATTCCTACAAAATGCTGGAAAAGCCTTTGAAAATCCCATAAATCCAACAGAAAACGTGACAAAATCTACGAAAAAGCAAGGGCATTGGCCGGGACCACGCCGCGACCAGCCCGCGCGGGTGGAGAGGGTGCCCCAAGATGTAAATCAATTGGGATGGCAGAATCTTGGACAATCCAGGTCGCCATCACGTCGCAATCACGTCGCAATCGCGTCGCTGTCACGTCGCTTTTTGGTCGGGATTTCGTCACTGCAACAAAGTTCCGGAGGGGTAGGGGAGGTAAGGTCTAAGTCTAAGTCTAAGGCTAAGGCTAAGGCTAAGGCTGAGGCTGAGGCTTAAGTCTAAGGCTAAGGCTTAAGGCTAAGGGTAAGGCTAAGGCTTAAGGCTAAGGCTAACATCGACAGTCACGCCTCACCCCACGGTGTGGGGTCGGCGGATTTTTGTTGGCTGTGTTTTTTGTAGCGCTGAGGCATTGGGAGAGAAGGGCTCCGCACTGACAGGCTGCGCGATTCCGGCGCCAAAATATACACCCAAAATGTTGCCACTGAACGGGCGCTAAAACGTCCACCAAGGAACTTGCGCGGTATTTGGTCAGGTGCTGTGCTCTGTTGTGAGCCTGCTGTGATGGTTTTTTCACTCTCAGGCCAGGTGCTGTGACGGGGCGAGTGGCGCACGCAACTGAACCTGCACGACTCACAAAGCAACTCAGGCAGGCTGACTGCGCAGGTCGTTGGTTTGATGGCCTCGGCGCGCGCTAAGTTCAAGTGCATTAATTGGCGGAACACAATGAACCGCGCGTGCCTGGCAGTAACAGTCCGCGCATCATGTTGGCAGCGCGTGAGAGCGTCTTTTGCGCGCAGTACAAGACATGGACCGGTGCGTGCTCAGTATCGCGCCTTTAATGCCGGCGAGGCGCGAAATATTTTCCACTCAGCGCGAAGCATGTTTTATGCATATCCAGGCCACATACCTAGCAGGACGTTATTGCAGCTGCGACAGCTTTTGCGTTTGTATACAGGCTTCGCGGCATTTCTACGCAGCCCAAAACATGTTGCGCGTGCAGCCAGGCCACAGGCAGTTGCGTGGGCTTGCGCTGTTGCAGTTGCTGTGTGCATTCAGTTTCTGTTGCGATTCACTCTTTTCTGCGCAGTAACACTCAGCTGGCACGCATTGAGCACTCAAGCCCCCAAACCAAACCAAATGAAAAGGGTGCTGGGGAGGAGCTGACGAGGAGCTGGGGAGCAAGAACGGTACGTCAGGCGCTTGGGGGCAAGAAAAAGGAGCATAGTAGAACTGCAAGAATGTTGTTCCCGGCGTGCAAGGGTGTCGCCAGGCACACGCAAACACATGCCCCCCAAATATGCGGATGCCGTGGCCCTCCAGTTCCACACCCCGTTGGAATGTTTGAA